GAGACAGTGAGACAGTGAGACAGTGAGACAGTGAGACAGTGAGACAGTGAGAGTGAGCGAGTGCGGCCGCAAGATACGCAACGCTAACCGCATGCCAAAGAGCGACGACAGGACGGAGTCGAACTTGCGAAGAGGGAGGAGGGAGGGAAGGTGGGAGGAAGACAAGGAGGAGGAGAGGGGAGGTGGGGTGGGGAGAGGGGAGAGGGGAGAGGGGAGAAAAATCAGGGGTTAGGATTTGCACCCGGTCGAAAGAAACCTTGCTATCGCAAGAGTAACTCCAGCTAGCTTCGCTAGCTTTCGTGAATAGAAACAGGCACTCTATCAATTCTAGTAAAGGCAGAAGTACGGAAAGCTTTAACCACATCAATTTCTAAGGGCTGGGTTTTATGCAAATGACATAAACATATTATCTTAAGATGCAAATGGCTATGCTGGAGGGTATCTAACGAAAGATGGAAAAATTCTCTTCTAGCTATATACAGTATACATATATATATATATATGTATACACTTCAGGAAGAAGAATGTGTTTTTCTTCTTACCGGGTCAGATGTGGATCAGCCGCAGTCGAATTAAGAAGTCCATTTTGCGTGGCCAATGTGGGACGGTCAATTATGACTGTCTTTCAAAAAAAAAAAAAATAGTCAACTTTGAGGGAGGAAATTCGACCATGTGAGGTGACATAAGCATCTTTCAGGATTGTCCAAATTTCAGTTCACCTAGCAATACCTGTCCCCGCCCCACAAGACAGAGCAGTATTCACCAACCTGACCTCAGGCATGATTGGACTTGTCAAGCGAGTCTATAGCGTCAGCATCCTAGAATCTTCGAAATCATTCTGCCATCCATGGACCCATCCGATGTGGCTCTCAAGCCACAAAAGACAGACCAAAAGTGACTGATTAAAAAAAAAAAATCCCTGACCTTGCATCTTCCACGACAAGGCAAGACTCCCATCCCCTTCACCGTACCAACTTGGGGGCTCGACCCAGACCAACAATGCGTGCCAAAGCATGCTGTCCTGCGCGGACGGCAAAATCGGCTCAGAGTCTTAGAGGGCCAAGGCAGCAAAGACAGGTTGTTAAACATCTTTGGAACACCAATTCTACAACCTGTCCCCAAATTGGGGTGTTTGTACATTCGGATGTCCTTGCATCAATCAGACCTGGTTATTGGAGGCGTTTGGATGCTGGATCCAACCCTTTTCCTGGACTTCCTCATAGCTTTTAAAGCAAAGCAAAGTCGTCAGCTACTTGGAAGTTCACTTCACTTTAAAGGACACCTTTTCCATGAAGCTCTTGAATGCACATGCCACCCTAGCAGAGGGAGGGGAGGGGCGGGACTCCGCTCACATCCGCAACTTCGAGACCCTGCAGAAGCATTTGTGTCATGTCCAGTGAGCTTGGCGAAGCAGCTGCCAGGCTGGCTCTGTCGTTCATGGTTATTCGGCTGGCATTCATGAATCCTTTGGTCAAAACATGTCAAAACCAAGAAACAAAGCTAATTCAATGAATGATTCAATGACACAGCTAGTCTTCTGAGGTCGATGGTTTTCCTTGCCACGACAGTCCGCACCGCCATACCCAGAAATCTTGGAAAAGGTCTCCAAAGGCATGTCAGCACTTGGGATCAAGGCGCTTTGGACTTTTCAGGCTTGTGCTTAGCTGCTTACGTCCGCAGGCAATCCACAGGAAACGGCGTGGATTGCAAGATACTTCGGACTTACTTAGAGCAACGTCGAACAGTAGAGAAAGGCCTCACTTTCCCATTCTCCTGCCTTTGGAAAAGCTTGCAACAAGACTCGAGAGGCTTCGATAGACATGACAGCTCTTTCGTTTCTCCTCCAGCTGCTGCACACTTCTGGAACCATTAGAAGGCTGCCAAACGTTGGTGGATGACCTCATGTGCAAGAATTCCACTGTTGAACGAAAAGGAGACTGGTCTTGGGTGGACTCTTCCAGTGGAAGTGTGCCCCTATCAAGACGGAAATCCTGAGAGGGTTTGGGGGTTCCTCACCATCAGTTCAGCATTGGTCTTCCATATGGTCAGCATTGTGGGTCTTCGCCTAAGCCTGGACCGAACGTATCACCCGACGTGGCCAGACACATGACAAGCGGCACAGCAGCCAGGTGCATGGGCTGGTACTTCCTGGGATCGGTGGTCAGGTCGTTGCTCGATCAGACTCCAGAAGTTGTGAAAACTTTTCTATTGAAGACTTATTGAACTTGGACATTGGACGCTATTCAACAATCCTATTGAATCTATATAGTAGCTTACGCCTGGCACCTCTTTGCCCCCCAGTGTCGAGGGTCAAGGGACTGTCGGCTGGTACGCAGAGTTTCTTGTCATGAAGATCACAAACCTTCCCATGGCTTCTGCCGATCCTCACCTGCTTTCCCTCTGGTCTGGTGTGGTCTGCTAGTCAATCCATATACACAACAATTCTCATAGGATAGGCAGCACGAGTCTCAGTTCCAAGGAAACCTCCACATATCCGAAAACAATACAGTTTATATATACTCTATTGCTGAAGTTCTCTATGACTCTAAGGCCATGCTTTGTGCATAGTGGCACAAGGTTTCAGCCATATTGAGCCGTGAAAGTTGAATCAAAAATGAACATTTACACCCCCGACCCTGGACCCTGTCATCCGTTCTGAAGACCCTTGCTGCGAGCTTGAGCAGGTGGAGCCCATCTCAGCACGCGACAGCGAAGCAGGCACCAAAGGCCAAAAGCGGTGTTTATGAAAGTCAAAAAAACGAATTGCACCTGCTAAATCAAAGGTTGTCACCAATTGTTTACATCCAGAAAAGTTATATATAGATAGATGTTACTCCACATATTCTAGTGACTTTCTAGTGGTTCTCAATCAGGCAGAGAACACCTTGCTATACATGTTTGGAGAGGATTCACGAATCGATCTATTCTGGCGAAACATGTGGTGCAAACTCGCTCGAGGGCCGAACCTTGAAGCTCACGCCGTCGGCCCGCTCGCATCAACAGCGAGTGCCGTTGAGAAACGTCTGCTTTTTGTGCACCAACCGACCAAACGACCAGATGACCAGATGACCGAACCACTAAGGAATGAGTCTGGACACGTTTGAAGCAGGCGAATCAAGCCAATTGCTGCTAGCAATTTGCGAACCCAAAGCTGAACAAAGCAAAGCAAACCTTGAGCCGAGAACAAACCTTAAGCCGAGACACATGTTGAACCATCAATGTGCCAAGCCACAGAAAACTTTCTATATAAGCTACAGCAATTCGAACATCAAAAGTAAACATGGTGCAGTGCAAAACACAAATAAGCCCGCAAGCTATCCCGGCAGGCCCCAAACAGACCCAAACCGTGTCTTGAGGTCTAGAGGTCTATGGTCTAGAGGTGTAGAAGCAGGTGGTCTAGAGGTTTAGACGTATTGAGTTCCAAAGGAGGTCTATATACAGGCTCAAAGCTCTAGTTCAAACAGATAGCCTTCGGACAGTTTCAAACAGAAGGCACTATGAGAATGCAAGGTTTTGCAGAGTCCGCCGGAGTCCGCCACTTGTGGTCGGCTCTGAGGCCCATTGGGGTGCGCGGGATGTGCTGACGCAAGATCAGTGCCTATGGGTTCCTTTTCTCCAACCCTTCTTGCCCCTAGTGGGCGTCGCCAACAGAGATCTGGAGGCAATGATCGATCCTATGAAACCAGCCTTGGCCCCAAATGGTATTTCTCAAAACAGACCACTTCAAAATCCTCAAGTTGGCCAACTTCCAGAAACCCGGGGCCTCGGATGGCTTCTCCCAGAACTTCCCACAGCACCGGCCCAGGCCAGGCCCAACCGTCCTTTCCGTCTGTCGCTCGTGGCCTTTTCTGCCAGAAATTGCCACCCTGGGCGGTGGGCAAAACCCAGCTCAGCTAAAAACACCCCTCCAGAAGGTGCACCAGTAAGAATCATTAAATTCTTCTTGTTACTACTAGTAAGGCACTTGTTACTACTAGCGTGGCACTTGTTACTAGTAGCGTCCAAACCCAGCTCAGCTAAAAACACCCCTCCAGAAGGTGCAGACCTGGTCAAGATTTCCAAGCTGTACAAGACGGGCTTACAAGTCTGCTGGAAGTCAGCACCAAAATTGCCTCCATCTCTCTGTGAGGCTTATAAAATTGACCACAACGTGACAGGCAAGACTCAACGGGTCCTACTTGGTTGCCAGGTGACCTAGTGGACCAAACTTGCCTGGTTGCAGTGCCATGCATGTGATGAAGGCTGGAGCAATCTCCTTGTCAAAACTGGTATAAGCTGGAGGAGATCCCCATTTAATTCCCAAATTTGAATCACACCTTCAGGAAATCACTCAAACTACTCAGGTCCCTTAAGTCATAGTTCAGCCTCCAAATTCTCCAAAATCACCTGGTAGTTTTCACTGGTCAGCCATCGTGTGATCGAGGTCAGCTCCGACAACATGCGCTCGGGACCGCAGGCTTTCAACTCAAGGAGGCCAAGTTGGGCTTCTTGCTGAACCAGATTGCGTAGGTTGACCTTTCTGGTTGGTGCTTGGTTGAACTAAAATTCTCTGAAACCTGATTTTTTCTGGATATGATTGGATAGGGGTTGCCAGTGCCATCCCTAAAAATCACAGAAACTGACCCTGAAAAGCCTGGTGGGTTTCAAGATGATGTTCCTATGGTTCCCATACCCATTTTCAGGAGCAAACGCATAGTCTTAGTTTCCAGAGGGTAATGATCAAACCACCCAGCCTTTCCATGTTGGATGTGGACTTGTGATCTCGGGATTTCCCTTGCATCTTCAACCAGCTGCCGCGAGTCAAGGTTGGTGGCTCTTTCACGAAAGAAGTATCGTGCACATCTTGGAATCAACTGCAATCCAGTGCTCACGACTACAACTCCCACGGCCACCAGGAGAATGGGCATTACTCGCATGAGCAGCGCCCACTCCATCAAAGAGTCCACCTGCGCGAAGAAAATGCTATCCCAGTAGTGTGCAGCATAATCTGTTGCTGTTGCCGATGCCAAGATCAGAGCAAATAGCACAAAAATCGGGAAAGGCCCAGCTGTTTCTGGTGTTTCCTTAGATTTGCTTCTTCGACCCCTGAAAATACTTCAACATCTTCCCCAGTCACAGTGGAGATTCTCGGAAAGATTGAAAAGAAGCTAACTTGTGGTTTCATCCCCTCCTGAAAAATATGAACGTCAGATTGTATCCTCCTCCCCAATCTATTGGAAAATCAAACATGTTTCAAACCACCAACCAAATGGTTTATAGTAGTTGCTATATACTGTATACCCATGAAATCCTGACAATCATTATCCCATGTGTTCAAACCCATTGGATTTGGTACCCCTTCAGGAAGGTTCATCACCTAAGCCTTAAGCCAGGCTTCTTCACCACCGAAGCCCGATCCGATCTTCGTCTCCAGGGTGGGAACATCGTCAGAAAGAGGCTGCGATGTGATGAAGACGCAGATCTCAGCTCTCTGGCGAAGGAACTGAAAATCGATGGCTGCCTTGGATGCGCGCAGATGCGCCCTGCGCCATGCTGCGCTTAAGGTATCTGGGAAAAATACAATAAATCATCCAAAAAAGATTATTAGGGATCAACAACAAAATCATCACAAAAATGGTGAATTCATCAATGGGATCATCAACAAAATCATCCACAAATGGTGGGTTAATAAACAATCATCCTAAGCAAATCGATGGCTGCAGCAAGTGCTTGATACTCATCACCACGAACCGCCCACACCAACTTTATTCGACGGCTGTCGATTGGCCCAGCAAGCAGGTCGATAAAAGGTGAAATGCCAACACCACCTGCCAGGCACCGCGAGGGATCCAAGAAATGATGTGTTTTATTGTTTTTGAAACGCGGGGTGCTCCGGTTTTACACCTCGACTTTGGGTCTCAAGTACATAGCGTGATCTATGCATACCAGCATGCCATTAGTCTAGTGCACTTTGACTGAGATTCAACACCGTCCCCATGGCTTCTGGTATGCAGTGTGCACATGGCTTCAATGACCGGATGCTCGCGCTGTTCGCGAGGTGTCCACATCCTGCCTCATGATAACATGAGCTGGTCTTGCCGACGTGCCATAGCTTTCGGTCTAAAATGAATTTAGCTTCCTGAAGGCGATCTCTCAGTTCATCTTGTCCCTGTCTCTGGCACGCCGTGACCCGCTTCTTCCACACCTCAACAACTTCCCATGCTCGGACCACGTCTTCATCATCAGTTCCGGCGATCCGGATAGCCTTCTTTTGGGTTTTGTCCCTCTCTTCTTTCACCGCCTCGAGCTCAAATCGCAGCTCAGAGCACATGTTGTACATTCTCACCACCTCACGTGCTTGACGGTCACGTTCTTCTCGGGCTTCCTTCAATCTCTCCTCTTGCTCTGCCACAGCCACCTCTAGGTGGACTATTTGCCACTGCATGTTCACCTTCTCGGGGTCATTCTCGTAGTGTGGCTCTTCATGTTGGCTGGTGTCCTCTTGCAATCCCCTTCTCACATGCGGGCCATCCGCATCATCTTCTTCTTCATCTTCTCCTTGTCGTTGCACGGGTTGTTGGTGACCTCGTCTCCTGCTGCACCATGTCTGCACTGTCTGCAAAGTCATCCGTGCCAAGCTCAAGGCCCCAACACTTGCCAGGCAGATCATAGTGATCAGCAGCCGAACCCACCATGTGTCCGTGCCCTCATTCTCTTCTGTCTCAAGCTCCACCTTGCAGTAGGGACAATGCAATCACCACTGCAACCCTTGCATTTGCTCCGAGGGTCTTGGCTAGCTTGCCGGTGTTCTTCTTCAGGTCCTCCTTCATCTTTATCTCCTGGTACTCGGCGTACCCGATCTTCTCGTCATCTCCGTTGATCATCTTGATAAGGTACTTCAGTCCGCTCATCCTTGCTTTGCTCAAGATCTTCGTGCCGATGTCACTCGTGTTGACTGCCGTAGGGATTCCAGTGACCCTCAACTCTTTGGCTCCTACTTTCTGTTGCAACCATAGGAGTCCTGCCGCGATGTGTCGTGTTCTCCCGACACCCACTCGGCCAGCCAAAGACCGAGCCGCCGACGAATCACTGCGGCACACCATCTCCAGGTCCTCGTTGGTCAGGAACTTCCAGCAATGTTTGATGAACAGTCCCTCGATGCAGCCTCCAACCATTGCCACATACTCGCTTTCTCCTGATGACAAGGCAATGGATCGTTGGGTCCTCACATAGCTCTCCAAGAGGCATCCGTCCAAGTAGATCTGGACCGAGCTCACGCTTTTCCTGCTGTCTCTTTGCCCTGCATAGTCAGCATCACATACCACTTCAAGCATGCCCGTCACATCGTCATTGATGTCCCACTCGTAGACATTCTCCTCAGTGTTCAGCATGCTTCGGCCTTTAGGTCCACGCTCGAACAGAAGGCCTTCATCCATAGTACCTAACAGGTACGATCTGACGTGTCTCATGGCCTGCCAGCTTTTCTTTGTGGGCTTCTGCATGAATGCTGCTAGACCTTGGGCAATGTACTGCACATCAGGTCGATCAGGGGCAATGTAGAGCAGTTCGCCAACAGCACTCCGGTAGACGGTGATCTCGTTGTAGTCCAGAGGATCATCTTCTTTGCTCAACTTGGTGAAGTTGCCGTCTCCGGGAGTCGACCTGCATTTCCTCTGTTCCACCTTGGTCAGTCGTGCGAGCTCTTTGATGTGCTGCTTGTCGGGCCGGATAGTGATGCCTCTGTCAATCAACTCCATCTCCCTCTTCAAGTAGTTGAAGCTACCTGAATACAATGGCCCACGCTTCTCCGTTTTCCAGCCTTTGGACTCCATGTACTTGATGAACTTCTCCACTTCATCTTCATGACCAATCAACAGCAAGTCGTCCACGTGGATAGTCAAGTACAGTTGGCCATCTTTGATCACCTCACCTGAGTCGTCGGGCTTCTTCAGCATCGTGGGCTGCATCACGTCTTGTACCAACCCAAACTCTTTTGCCACCTTGCAGAACCCTTTGAACCATTGAGCTGCAGCGTTTCTCTGGCCTGGGAGGTTTCTCTTCAGCCTGTAGGCGCCGTTCTCGGTCACGATCATCGCTTTCTCGTCCTCCGGCTGGTCCATGAGCAAGAATGCATCCTTCACGTCCAAGGTGTAGAGAGCCAGACCAGTCTTCATCTGCAGGCGGAGGAGCATTCGTACCACTACTGAAGCTGATGTGGGGGCGAAAGCATTTTGTGTGAAGACTGACCACTTGAACTGCCTCCCAACTAGACGTGCCCTTCTGAACCAGCCACCCTGCTCATCTCGGTGCTTCCAGGTGATCACCATTTTGGAAGTCAGGACATACGAATCCTCATCAGCAGCTTCTCCTTCTCTCAACTTCTCAAGGACACCCATCTTCTCGAGGCGCTCCTCTTCGTGTTTGCATGCCTCCGCATCTAGCTTCTTCAGCTCCTCTTCATCAACTTCAGGAGGTTTTCCTTTGCTTCTGTCGATGTCCTCGTCATCGCTGACATCGTTGAGCTGTTGTTGCAACACCTCCTCGGCCACCATCTCATGGATTCTCCTCTTCGGGCTCATCCGTTCCCCGGGGAGGTGTCACTGGTGCAAGGTTTCCAATGACCTCTTCCATCCTCTGCCTCTTCGGACTTGTCTCCACCTCGTGAGGTCCTGGTGGAAAGTTCCGCGCTGGCTCACCCCTCATGGCCTCAGGGATTGGAAGTCTCACTACCTTCCTCTTTGGGCTCTCGTCCTCTTCTGATGCCAGCGGGATTCGAGGGAGCTCTCGAGGCACCAAAGGCCTGTCACTTTTGTCACCTGAAGGTGCAGGACGTGCTGTCTTGGGTGCTGCTGCAGCTGCTGGTGTTGCTGGAACCGGCACAATGGTTGGTGTTCGCGCTGCCGTCGTCTTTGGTGCCGGAGTTGGAGCGATGGGTGTCTTGCCTGGAGTCTTGGGGTACCCATCTGGAGGAACACCTGGTGTGTTTGGTCCTGCAATGGGCCCATGGCCATACATGCCAACAGCCACTTGTTCCCCGATCAGCTTGGCCTCCTTCTCCACCTGCTCGTCACCGACAGCATCCTCTGCTGCTTCTGCCAGTCGTTGACGTGCTGCAAACTTCGTCTTCATGAGGATGCCTTGCACGGAGTACTGCCATGGGAGACCTCGGCAGTTGATCAGCATCTGGCCATCAAACTGATCAGGCAGTCTTCGAATGGATCGAGCCTCAACTGCACCACTCCTTGTCAGACAAATGTGGCTGTCGCTCCAGGAACTCTTTCCGACCCATACTCCCTTCCTGTACACAGGCTCACCCTTGTGCTTGAAGGCTGTGACATCCTTGAAGAGCACCGTTTCTCCCCAGAGAGCTACCTTGCCCACATAGCGCCTGTCCGTCAGCACCTCAAAGGACGTGGCTCCATTGATCACCCGATACCTGAGCATTAGGCATGCAGCATGTCGGAAACTCCACGGGTAGCAGCGCATATCTCCAGTCAGCTTGACTCCAGTCTTCTCCTCGGCAAACTGGCAGAGTGTTTGCCAACCTCACTGACTGCACTGTCCGTTCTGCTTGGCCGTTGGATGCGCGCTGATCCCGAGACGTTGTTCTGATCTCGGTGGTCAGGCCAAGTGTGGCTCGTGCACGCTGGATGGCTCTCAGGATCTGACGTGTGGCTCTCTCTCCATCGGACTGGAAAATGATGGGCTGTGTGTTGCAGACCTGCATGCTGAATCTGGTGAGCTCTTCTGTCACTTGCTTCAACGAAGCACTCCCCTTTGCCTGAACCGGGATGCACATGGTGGCCTTGGACTCTGACTCTGCCACATACAAAGCCGTGCCCCACTGTCGATCCTTGGGAACACCAGTGGTGTACGTGAACCCGTAGTCGAAGCTTATCACGGGTCTTCCTCGGTCTTTCCGGTCAGCTTGATCTTCTTTTCTCCTGGGATCTTCTCTCGACCGAGTGGCGACACATTGTTGGCACCAAGACTGAAAGGGTAGGTGCGTGAGCTGATGAAGTTCTTGCTCGTGGCGGCTTGGTAGCTTTGGTGCCTTCAACGGAATGGCTTCTCGCCTGCTCTCACTGAACAACCTCTGGGCGATCTCATAGGCCATTTTCTCCTCCTGGTGGTGTTTGTAGCTTTGAAGTCGCCGCAGCACCTTGATCTTGGAGCCAGATGTTGCCAAGCCCAATTGCTTGCAAATTTCCTGCAAGTCCTTCAATTTCGTCTCCTTGTCAAACCAGGTCTCGTCTATCTGGATCCTCAGCTCGTTGGGGTCTATGAAGGCAGCATCTTCCAAGATCTCTGGTCGTCCACCACTTCCAGCGGCCAACATTGGCAGTTCACCTCCTTCTTCATCCCTCTCATCGTCCGGCCACGAGGATGGCTCCCCGCTCAGCAAGGGGTACTGGCTCACTGGGACCTCAGAGCTGACCACAAAGTAGTCACGGATCAATCCCGGTGCAACAAAGGTCAACGCCGCACGAGGTCCTCCCGGCAATGGTCGGTATGGCAACGGAGTGTCCACATAGTTTGCCAAACTCTCCACCTGCTCCCGCGCTCCACTGTTGTCCTTCTTCTTCAACAACGTCATCCGTCCACACCACTCTGGACCAAATGAAAGGCTTGGGTCCAGAAAATGAGTTGCCTGAGGACTGGAGTGAACGACGATCCCGTTGGGTAGAGCGTGCCAGCCAGGCATCTTCTCGAGCAACGCAAGTTCTCTCGAGATAAATCCATACAGGCTCGTTGCTTCTCCTCGAACCGGGAACACATGATTGTCCTCCATCACATCCACCACTGGGCTGTCCGACAGCTCCATAGGTCCGTCCTTCACCATGCCCTTCCGCAGCTTCCAATTCTGCCACCTCGCCATGCAGGCTTGCACCTTTCCATCTTCACTGCTGCTGGCTTCCACAATGACATCTCCGGACTCCTCTGTAGTGTAGCCCGGTGATCTCTGGCTGCCCTCAACTTCTTCACCCTTGAAGGAGCTTCCTCAACACGATCTTCTGGGGCATCGGGTTCCACCTGCTTTGACAGTTCTTGCATCAAAGCCAACATCTGTTGATCCTCCTCTTCATTCATCTTCTCTTTCTCTTGCTCCTCGACACTCCTCTTCACTCCTCGTTCCATGGAGTGTGCTTCTGCTGTCACGGTCGGGGCACTCTCCTGAATGTCCTTGTCATTCGAAGCCATGGCTTCCATCTCCTGCGTCTCATTGTCCTCAGCTCGGACTGCACAAACTCTCACGTCCATCACCAGTGAATTCCTCTCAAGCCGAGCTGGGATCTTCAAGTCCTTCTCCTTGTGCTCCACGTAGAGGCCTTGGCTGTCTCGAGAGAGCACCCATCCTTGCTTGAGCAGACGTCCAAAACTCATCAAGGGGTGAGTCACACCTACACCCAAAGCAAACTGCTCCACGAACTCCACCATCTCTCCTGCTCTGGTGTAGGCTTGTAGTCGAAGTCGCCTGTTTCCGGCGCTCTTGATGGCACCTCCTTGAGCATCCATCATGCAAGTGGAACGTTGATGACCAGGTAGTCCCAGGGCGTAGTACTGCTCTGGTGCCACTGACACATCTGCTCCCGAATCGAGCGTCATCACGACATTGGGAGCCTCGTTCCTCACCATGCACAAATTCTGAATTTGGCCCTCAACATCTTTGGATTGGGCTCGTAGGGCATCACTTCCTGTGTCTTCCATCGATGGAGTCCGCAATGACGTGCTCTCATCACCGCTCTGGCAGTCGTAGAAGATCTCCTCCACCTCATCCGGAATCTCGTCACACTTCCGGATTGCCATCACTTGCAAGGCTGACTCATCATCATCCTCCGCCATCAGCTCCTCAGGAGAGTCGTCCTTCGTCAGGTCAAAGATCTCCATCGTGGCCAACCCGGTCGGCGTGACCAATCTCACCCTCCTGACTCCTGCCCTATAGGTGGAGTGGGAAGATGGAGTGACTGACGCCCCACTCGTCTGGCCTTGATCTTTGCCATGTTGTCCAGCTGATGCAGCCTTGCTCAACTCTTGTCCTTCTTGATCTTCTACCTTGTTCACACGCTTTGGGCTCCAACATTCCCGAGCGAAGTGCCCGGGTTTTCCGCAGTTGTGACATACTCCACTGCCACCTTTGCTTTTCTTGCCATCTTGTTTTCCTGAGCCCTTCGAATTCTTGCCGCCCTTCTTGCCTCCATCTTTGGACCAGGAAGTGAACTCTTTCCTTTGTCCTTGCCTTTCTTCCCTTTCTTGCCACCCTTCTTGCCTCCTTTCGACCACACGGCATCGATCTCCATGGGTCCTCCTTGATCACCTTGGTCCATCAAAGGCTTCACACCCATCTGCAGGCCACCATCGCTGGACCATCGTTGGCTCACCTGCCCATACATCTCAATCCGCTGCCTCAAGTCCTCAAACGTAGTGTCGTCCTGCAGCGTCATCTGTATGTGAAGCCTGAGGGTGGCAGGCAAGGCTGACAACACCGAGGCAATCTTCAGGTCGTCCGGGTACGTGACGTTTGCACTGCGCTCATACTCCCGGACCATCAAGTCATACTGTGGCAGCTGCTCAGTCACGGACGGTCTTCGTCCCATCAAACTGTATCTTGTTCAGGGACTGGATGAGAGCTAGAGAGCGCTGCCTCGTCTTCGGCTGAAGATCCTTGGTGATCACTCAGGCCTCAAGACCGTTCTGGTTGGTCACACCTCGTACCAGTCGAAGGGGTCTCTGCTTCATGAGGCCTGTCAAGAGGGAGTACAGCCTTTCCGACTGGGGCCTGACTGAAGGAAGTCCATCGTTGATGGGGGCTTCTTCCTTCTCGGCATTCTTCATGTGGGACAGCATGGATGGGTCAACTGCTCCTACGAAGGTCTCAAACTGGAATCTCCAATCCATCCATTTGTTGAGCTCGTCACCACGGTTCTCTGGGGCAAACATCGATGGGGGTTTCAAGTGTTTTGTGAACCCCGAACTCCGTTGGACATCGATCAGGCCATGTAGTGCCTGCACCAGCCCCTGGACTCCTGTCAAGGCACCTCCAGGAGGTGCTCCAGCCGCCCCACCAGTGCCGTCGGGCTCCGCAGTGTCCCCCATGAACACGACCCGGATACTAGTCCACCCGGGCTTTCGGTGGACCGCACACTCCCCGGTGGTTTGTCCCCCAAAAGGGTCTCTGCTGGAGTTGACAGGGGCTACATGTCAGAGCTCCGCTACCATGAAACGCGGGGTGCTCCGGTTTTACACCTCGACTTTGGGCCTCAAGTACATAGCGTGATCTATGCATACCAGCATGCCATTAGTCTATAGTGAACTTTGACTGAGATTCAACAGTTTTTGTATTCTATTCTTCTCCTTTTTTTGCACATCACGAAATTGGGAGATGATTTGGGGGTCCCCTATGTCCATGGAACCCCCCCAAAAAGCTCAGGATCCCTGCCTGCGATCAACAGTGTACGCACCTGATCCCCAGAGCCAAGCCGCCCAGAACTGTCACTGGACTTGCCATATGGACCTTCGATGTCAAGTCTCAATGTATCTCTGGTGGCCGAATTGCATAGTGAGGTTGACCAATCACCTGCAGCCTTCAACAAAATGAACGCCCGGTTTCCATGAAAAATGGTTGAATAGGGATGCCATTCCAAACCGGAAATGGTCTTCTGCCGACAATACACCCAACGAGTGCCGGGCAAAAGATGGGATCCCCTGTTTCCCTCGGCAGGATACCAGGAGAACATGACCAAAGATGAAGTTTCACTGCGGCACAAGATGTTGATTGTCACTTCGGTGCTGCCGCGCAAGGAAACAAGGCCAGAAAAGCGATCTCTCACGTAGAACACAAGTCCAGGAAACATGAGAATCACCATGGCAAAATCATGCAAACCGCAGAACAGCATGAAGACAAAGGATGTCACCAGATGGGTGAAATAGAAGAGGTTGTAGAAACGTCGACGGATCACTTTCTGGGAGGAGACCGCCAGGATGATGGTGGCTGCAGTTGCCACGACACCAAACCCATTGACAAGGCCCAAGGTGTTCCAACAGTGATCAGAACCATCACAGCGCACAGCAACTGGTAGGCAAGCCTCCAAAAGCTCTCTCCAACCGCCACGGCATAAGTAATAGAATCCAAATGCCAATGAGTGGAGCAAACTCATCCACAGCACCCACCACCCAACGGGCCTGTGAAAAGCGATCATGTTTGGGTAGTCCAAGTTCCACCGATCTGAAATGATGGACCGTCTTGAGATGGCCAGCAACAGCATGCCCAGATACATAGCTGCGGCTCTTCCTGTGACGATCCCTGTGAACACCAAACTGTCCTTCAGCAGTGATCGGGATTCGCCATACAAAAGGCACACTTTCAAAATGCAAGCTGCGAGTGTAGCGACACCAACACTGTGAAGCATGACATTCCACCTCACGGCGGAGACTTGTACGACCGTCCCTGGTACAAGTACCAAGCACAGGACCAAGAAGAATACTAATGTCAAGGTCGGCAGTTCAGTTGGAAAGCTATCCAAACTTTGACAGGCAAACAAGGCCATAGTGTACATGTGCTCCTCAATCAACTTGCATGGTGCAGCCACGTAGGAAATCACTAAGGCCAGCCAAAGTGCAGCAAGGATTGTCCCGCAAAGACCATGTGCTAGTTTCATCCAGATTTGTGCATGCAAAATCCACTTGTCCCATCACCACGGCTATAAAACATTGTTTGTCAAATCGTTTTTGTAATCACTTACATAGACCTGTCATCTGTGCGTGACTAAAATATGTAAATACCACAGGAATAGACAGAACATTGATTACAATGAGAGTAGGTTTTTCTTTATAAATCTTCACTGCCAAACTTCCTCGAAATGACGACACTTCCCACGTCAATCTGCGTGCACGAAAAGCTGCAGGTCTATTTGTCATGGGCAACTCATGGCTGTATCTCACAGAGGGTTTATAAAGAGACAGAGGCACTCAGATTCTGTTTTGCAAGTCGTTTTTGATCCAAAAGGGCTGTGTTCCAGTCAGCTGTACAGAGTGAAACGCTAATGATGTCATGTATACATGCTTTAGTCTACCCTGAAAATGTTTCACACTCCTTCTTGGTAGTGTGAGCGATCGAATTGTTACTTTGAGCTCACTCTGCCACTGTAGTCCATTTTATTCCAATATTTTTCTACAAACTTTCTCTTCCTTCTCTAAGGAACCGGGTTCCCAGAGATTGTTGGTGTTGGTGTTTGCCTTTCTGGGTTATCTCTTTTCATCACTGCACATTCTAGCAACTCTTGATAATTTTCCTTGTTTTTTCAACTCGTCCTGCTGCTTCCTGCAGTCCTCTTCCCAGTAGGTTGTAATGTCTTTCCATGAATTGCTGAAGTTGTGTTTCAAGCCGACCACACATTTGGCTGGTTTGCTCTACTTGACTACTTGATATTGTGCTCTGATTGATAGTTCCCTGTTTCCTGGTTTGAGCCTTCGGTTCGATGGTCCTTCTGATGGAGTTGCTCCGTCCATAGCTGCCTGCAACATTACTCGTTGTGTAGCGAAGCGCGCGGCGCCCTTTCACTCACAAAACGGAGCCTGAATGTTGCGGAAACACTAAGTGCACAACCACACGAGAACAGGACTGTCATCCATCTATTACATCCTCATGAGAAATTGTCGTGCTGCCTTCCTGTTCTCGGGGATTTCTGCGGCAAAATGCACACAGTTGCAGCTCCACCACCACGCAGCCAACGACAATTGGGACTGTCGTGAAATACGTCCCCGCAAGGATGGACTGTGATCATCCTTTCAAGGTTGGCTAACCATCTGCGTTCGTGCGCTCGCACGGAACTCGACAAGACGGCGTTCTGTTGCCGTTCAAACCTAAGGTCGTTCTCCATTGCCACACTCAGTTCTTCTTGTGCCTGAAGACGTCTCTCCAAGCTGTCCTTTTGGTCATGCAGCTGGTCAATCGCTTGATACAGTTTGTAAACTATGTGTGGGTCATCACTTTCATCTGTTTGCGCTGCTCGTCCTTGGCTTTCGACCATTGGGCTCGTCTGGTCCTTCATCAACCATTCGAGGTTCATCTCAGTCTCCTTGTACTCGTCGTACCCGATCTCGATGTTATACTCATCGACCAAACACAAAATGTGGGCCATGGAGTCGGAACTGGCTCAAACCTTTCGTGCCAATGTCAGCAGGATTCAGCAAAGTCGGAATTGCTGTGATCTCCAGCTTCCCACTGGCCACCTTTTCTTGAATCCACATCACGCCACTGTCGATGTGGCGGACACGTCCTACACCCTGTCGTGCAGTCATGGAGCGTGCTGCCGAACAATCGCTCCTCGCCTTGACCATGGTGTTTTCGCTTGTCATGAATTCAACCACGCGCTTCACGAACAAAGCCTCTGAACATCCACCAACAACAGCAGTAAACTCTGCTTCACCACTCGAGAATGCAATGGCCTTTTGGCTTTGAACCTTGCTCTCAATCAAACATCCATCAAGGAAAATATGAAAACACGTCAAACTCTTTCGACTGCTTTTGCAGCCTGCTAGGTCCGCGTCTGTGATCACTTCAATGAGGTGATAGTCCTGGGACTCGATCTCGTCAATGTCTCTGCGGTCCAGGATTGACATGCAAGGTAGCTTGTGAGGTGTGTCACATGTTTCACTTGTGAACTCATAGGCTTGCTCATCATGCGTGCCAACATGTGAATAGCATATTGTGCATCCGGCCTCTCACCACTAATTTACATCATCTTGCCAACACAGCTTCTGAAGCGAGTGCAATCTGCGTTGCTGAGCTCATAGCCATGTGGAATGCTGTTGATATCGGTGGAACATGGAATGTTCTTCGCTCTCTTCTTTCCTATCTCACATGCCTCAGCCAGCTGCCAGTTCTCATCTTCCCCAGCTGCTCCGCGTACTATCGTTCACAGGCGACCACAGCCGACCACCGGCGACAACGCAACCGCAGACCCGAGATCTACCACCACAACGCAACCGCCAGACCCTCCAAGATCTTGCGATTCACAATAAGACAGCGCCGCAGCCGACCAGCGGTGACCACAGGCGACCACAACCACCGGCGACAACACAACCGCCCAGACCCTCAGGAAAGAGAGCGAGATCTACTGCGATTCACAACAAGACAGTGCCGCAGCCGACCAGCGGCGACCACGGGCGACCACACCCGACCACCAGCGCAACCGCCAGACCTTCCACGGGCGGGCCAGCAAACTGGAGACAAGGAACTTGGGACAGGAAACTGGGGACAGGGAACTGGCTGGCGCAGGAAACTGGCGGGCAGGGAACTGGGGGCAGCAAACTGGGGACAGGGAACTTGGGACAGGGAACTGGGTTTTTTTGGCACGGGTGGAGGCGCTATGTGCGCCGAGAGGCACAAGTCACCTTAATTCAATTAAATAGGGAGATACGAGCCAAGCAACAGACCAAGAACGAACCACAACCGCCAAACCCAACCAAACAAAAAGCCCAAACACCCAAAGCGGCAAGGTTCGTATCTCAGGTAGGCTGCGTGAGCCAAAGCAAAACAAAGTGAAAAGCGGTGAAGCGGGGCAATGAATTCATTCCACTCTTTGCGCTCAGTACGTCTAGGTCAGGCAAAAGAGGTATTCCTCACAGTGGGCAGTGAGTTGACTGCTTGGCTATCGTGATCAGCCACAATGTGTGCGAAAGGCACCCAAGAATGTGCAGAGGAAATAGGAGTGTACCCGAACTACCTGAGGTTGCATCTTTGCAATTATGTGCCTTACTTCCAAGTACACAGTCTTGCAGGCAACAGGTCCGGAATGTCATGCACTGACACCGAAGTGACAGATACTTTGATTTCGCACAATCGTCTCACAACGATAGAATTCGAGTCAGGAGGCCAGCTGTTTCACCACCGACTCACTGTGATCAAAATCCCGAGGAAAATGCAGTGAGAGAGCGCGAAGTGCAGCCAAGCATGCTACGAGACTTTTGCCAAAAGGAAAATATCAGTGTCGGCAATCGAAAACGACAAGTCCTCGAGGACCAAGACATGTAACTCACCAAACAGGAGAGGGGCATGGCTGTGGCTGCCCCCCCGCAAGGGGGGGGCAGCAGTGTGTATCAGCCCAAATGGCAGTGACTCGAAAAAGGCACGGCCAAGGAAGCAGCCGCCATTAGGGCTATGCAGCAATGCATCAATCTCAGACAGGTGGGTTGCAGGCTATGCACTGACCGGCCAAATTGTCTCGACAGGCTCACCAGCCCCACTTTGCGTTTTGAGCGTTCTTGAAACTTGTTGAAACGTGCAAGCCCCATGGACTACGTGAAAAAGAGTGAAACGCCGCTACCCTAAGTCCTAGGCACTGTACATCTGTACTCTATGTGTTCATCCAGGACCACCACTTGGGTGGCAGCCTGGGTACTGTCTAGCTACTCAGCGTTGTCGACTCGGATCTTTGACGAAGAGCTTCACAAAGGGCTTTACTCACAGGGTAGCATCCGTTAGGTGTTGTTCAGGGTGTTTGACTCCAAATTGTCCCTGACAGTTTGTCAATGCAAAGACGAAACAAAAGCAAGGCTTCGCCGAAACCGGTTGAGTCTAGCAATGCTTGGCTATTCTAGTTATAACGGTGCTTGCAATGGTTGTCTAGCGCGACAAAATGGCCACATCAAGCCGTATAGCGCCCGGTAGGCCGTTGTCTACCTACTATTGTGAGGCTTACAGGAGAGAAGGCTGTAGACCTCGAATCGGTGACAACCTGACCGGCGCCATTTGACTGGCAAGTTGAAGTTTGAGCACGTGCATATCCCTAAGCAGCAAAGTCGCAACATTATAGAGGGACATGAAACATAACTTATGTCGTTTCACTCTCTGCTAAGGTTGGTCCTAGACCGACCTGCTGCGCGATTAAACTTACAAGGCAAATGGGCACCGCCAACAGGTTACTCTTGCATTTAGTAGAGACTTGCAAAAACAACCTACTTTTGTCGGAAGGGCAGCAATCGTTGCAGTGTCACCGCACTCCCTCCCTAGTGCGAAGTGAGGTAGTATCCGTAGCTGGCAGCAGCAGTTTTTGAGGAGTGGAACTGAAGTGAGTGTGAAGTGAATACGTGTAAAGTGATGGGCAAACAAAAACAGTTGCTGCGATGAAAGCACCTCCCCTAAGTGCATAGTTAGCACCATCAGCTACGAATCGGAGTCCCAAATCCTATGTTTGTAGTTAACGAGCGCAACCCACATGCTGACAGGAAATCACCCCCCCC